GAGAAAGACATTCGATGATTGGTGAAAGATTTTGGAAGTTTTTTGATTGTATTTACAATTTCAAATGTTCCTCTACGATCTGGCAAAGTTTTCTCGATTTTACAGAAAAACAAATTTTGACGAAAAATATCCATGGGGTACCCCCTTGGCATTTTCAAACTATTTTTCGAAAAATTTTCAAATGTGCTAAAACGAATTCTAAACAGACAGAAACTATAAAATGAGTCTTTTAGCAATAATTGGAAGCTCTATCCTTTTCGGAATCGAGAGCTTTTAATGTTTTTTCGAACATCCCACAATCCATATTTCTTCGATAATCACCCAGTAGTACTCAAAACTTGAGAAAAACATAGATTCACATTATCTCTCATTGATTTATCACTTTACAACCCCAATAACGAACAAATCTTGTGAATTTTGAAATAAAGAACTGAAAAAAGATTTGTAGTGTTGCTTCAAGAAATTTGCAAAAGCTATGGAGTATGTACTTTTCAAAACTTGTGAAAAAGTAAAAAATAAGTATCCAATTAAAATTTTTCTTTGAAAAAATTCGTTCGTAGCATTTTGAAGATCGCCACAAAAACCAAAAATACAATCAAAAAACAAGAACGCGAAGAGGAATCGAACCTACAACCGGTTGGATACTCTTCATCCTTCCTCGCCACTGCTGTCTGGTTCTTTCCCTTCCCCCAATCTATATAAGAAAGAGGGGAGGCGCGGCGCCCTTAAGAGTCAAATTTGAGCCAAATTTGAAACTTGATTTTCTCGAAACTGGTAGCTCCTCAGCAAAATCTGGATACATGTTTGAAAATGTCTCATTCTCAGCTTTCGAATGGTATAGGTCTCATACCGAAGTTCCACCCCCCGATTACAACCTTCCCTAGTTAGTACTTCGTCCTATACTTCAATGAAGTATAGGTATACTAAACACAAAAAAAGTTGGGACCAATTTTTTCAAGTCATCACTCCTACCACCCAGCCAATGGAACTAAAAGGTGAAAAAGTGGTTCCAACTTTTTTTTGTGTTTCCAACTTTTTCTTCAATTCTTCATACTGTATCGATTGGACCAAAAAATTTTTTTTCCAAAAACAATACACAATCCACAGAAATTATTATATTAATGAAGAATTTCTATTGTTTATTACCTATTTAATGATGAACTGTCAAGAAGGCGCTATCATTTTAGACGGTCCGTCTTCGAAGCGCAAATCGTTACAGACGGACCGTCGGCGGCGCGCGATTCGACTGCCGACTGTTCGCTTTTCGGCAGTTCACGCCCGCCAGACGGCCCGTTTTTCGGCGGTCCCCCTCTACCTGTGACTGATAGACAAGCGCGATCACCTCTACACCACACGACGCTTGTCGTTTACTACTGCTAAAACGATTATGAAACGAGGAGTGGGCGCCGCTTAGAAGAACGGTCGCGTTCTCGCTTGTACAGAACAGGGAGTTATGGTTTGGTGTCCATTGTTATTTTCTTACTGTACTGTGTCCTATATGAAAAAACTAGAATTTTGAAAATATTCATGTCTGGCTTCCTTCAATTGAAAAATTTCCCAAAGATCACCTTAACTATCAGTAAAATAAATTTAAAGGTGGTGTACGGTGAAATTTTTTTTGCATCAAAATGTGAAGAAATGCATGTAGATTGACTTAAAAATAAAGAAAAAATTCAAAATATTCCTTCATCAAGAAAAACGCATCGAAAAATACGCTGAAAGCCCTTAGGGACTAGGTTTTTTCTAGGCCACCCGGTGAGTAAAAGCTCGCGAATTCAAAATTTTAACATTCGCTTGTTTTCACTTTTTTTTCGGTTTTTTCAAAAGTTTTCTAGGTTTTTGTCAATTTTTCTTCCAGATACATCGGAAAATTTGAAAAAACAGTGAAAACGAGCGAAAAAATTTTAAAGGTTTGAATTCGCGCGCTTTTACTC